ATCAATCAATCAATCAATCAATCAATCAATCAATCAATCAATCAATCAATCAATCAATCAATCGATAACCTTTCCTTCCTCCTCTTTGTGCATCCATCCTTCATCCCTGTCAGAAATTGTTTTTGCAGTTAATAAGATGGAGGCTTGGCTAGTGAACTGGATCACATGGCATATACAGCTAGTGGCCACCAGAGGCAGCGTAGCCTCAGATACTGTTTAAACTTGTGGTTTTCAGACTAGCAGAGTCGTCATCACAGCTCCATATGAAAGGACCTGGCTCATTTATATGTGTGTATATGTGTATTTACATGTGTGACCGATTGTGTCGCCTGTTCGTTATTTTACATATGCATTAGAAAGTGATAGAAATCTACTTAACCCTTGTATGGTGGTCTGTGAGACCCATGCCAAGTGGAGGCCGCTGCACCTTTAGGCAGTATATACCATACCATCAAAACCTGCAAAATATGGTATAAAGATATTTACACTTGATTATAACTGATTTTATTTTATTTTTTCTAACGTTTTATTAAAAAAATGAGAAGCACATTAATTCATAAATGTGATCGAACAAAGGTGAAGGGAAAAATTAACCATGTTTTCTGTTCTCATGGCTCGTAATTGGGATGAAGTAAACATCTGTTGAGTAATTTAACATAAAATTGTTTGATAGTGTTAATTGGAAAGCCAAAACTCTAGCGGGTCCACCAGACCCATGAACACCGGCTGAGTAACAAAAACACCACACAAGGGTTAAATTCATTCAGTTAGAGTCACTTTTCTAACCCTGGAAAAGAAATATTAAAAGACAATTCAAAATGTAAGTATTTGCATTGTTAAATAAATGAACAGTTTTTATAATTTCAAATTTGCATCAGAATAATGAAACATAACGTTTTCTAGTCTCTTTGCTCAAACTCAGCATCTAATGCCGTGACTTCATCTTCACCCTTTGTCCTGCAGGAGGTCTGATTGTGTTTGTGGATACACAGAATAACTGACTGTTGTACTATAAACTACTGGCAGTATATGGACAGAAGTACATGTTGCAAAGCTGTTGTTGGTATTTGTTTTGTTTTGCTTCCAGTACAGACACAGTGTATGTGTCACTGTGGGTGCCTAACATCACTCAGTGAATATTAGGTGTAAATTCAAACCATTAGCAACTGTTGGACAGTCACACAGTGCTTCTCTGTAACGTTTTGCCAGCTCATTCAACAGTGATGGAAACTATTAGTGATTTGAATTCTGGCTCTTTTAATAAGAGAGCTGCTTCTTATGGCTCAGTGAGTCGGCTCTGTTGGCTCCCAAGCAGCTCTTCAGATCAATTTATTACAAAGGATTTAAGCCATTCGATCCCTATA